GGTGTAAGGGGGGGCGGTCCGGGGGGAACAGCCGCCGCGCCGTGTGCGAAGCCGCTTCCACCGACGGCGCGTCCGTGACGTCCACGGAAACAAGGTGCAGACGCGAAGAGGCCGAGTCGCCGTGCTGAACGCCGTCCGTGCCACTCAGGATAGCGGCCTTGGTGGACTCCGGATTCGGATGGCGAGTCGTCGCGAGGATGGGGAGGCGTGTCGTCCGGAGCAGGTGGCGCGTCAGCGCGAGGCCGATTCCGCGGCTGGATGGACATATGAATATCCAAGGGGTGGACATTTCTTCTTTGGCATTTGTATTTGCATTTGCATTTGCATCTGTGCTGCGTGGGCCCTGGTGAGTATTGGGGTTTATGTACCTGGATGAGAGAGGCGGTGCTACGTCATTGACTGAGTTGCTTGTAGTCTTCACTTATGAACTATACTTTTCTGGGTAAAATGGTTATTCTGGACATGTTGTTTGAGGTAAATTTGGTCTAAGCCAATTTTAAATCCCCTTTAAAAAAAACAATACTGATCTTTGCTTTTTTTCTTTTCTATTTTATTTTATTTTTTTTTTTTTTTCCACCCGCAGGTGACGAGTGACTGACTATATTGCTTCAGCCCCCAGTGTGAGAATATGTCACTTACAGCGCTCCGACTTCATTCAACGACAACTCGGCACTTCGGATTCCCGTTCTGTGAACAGTATCACATATTTAGCTAATAATTAATTCATACAAATTGGCACTGTGAATGTTTAATATTCATACCCAGGTCCTGATTCGACGCCACCCGGTGGCATATTGATTCAAGAGAGGAATACCCATGTAACGCTCAATTCTACTATATCCACCCAACTATTTTATTTTTTTTTTTTTTTTTCCACCCGCAGGTGACGAGTGACTGACTATATTGCTTCAGCCCCCAGTGTGAGAATATGTCACTTACAGCGCTCCGACTTCATTCAACGACAACTCGGCACTTCGGATTCCCGTTCTGTGAACAGTATCACATATTTAGCTAATAATTAATTCATACAAATTGGCACTGTGAATGTTTAATATTCATACCCAGGTCCTGATTCGACGCCACCCGGTGGCATATTGATTCAAGAGAGGAATACCCATGTAACGCTCAATTCTACTATATCCACCCAAAGTTGCTGCTGGCACACCCAATTCTTTCTATTGTACATTTTGTTTTTGCACACTATAGTGTTGAGATTGCAGGCCGCTTCCCTGATAACAGAAATTTTCGCCGTGATGAAAATTTGCAAATGGACTTTTTACCACCTTCACGAACCTTATATGGCGTGGAATTGTCCACTCTTCGTAATGACTGGCGATTGCGTCGTTTCCTGCCATCGCCTTGCCTCTCCAGCCAGTTCCCTCATCAACGGCTCAATCGTCCCCAGCCCGCTTGCGTCGTCACTCCTGCTCACACTATCACTCCATGCATCGTCGTTATTCGCATGCCTATTCAACTTCTCCAGGAGTCCGGCTTGGGACAAGCTGGGCCGCCGTGTTAGTCGCGTCTTTTCCATTTCCCGGTCCGTCCTATCTGCTGTGCCTGAAGTTTCGCCATCGGATGCCCAGTCGGGCCAGTCCCTAATGTCCTCAAATGGCCAGTTGTTGGAAGACGCCATAGTTTTATTCATGTTGTCTAAAGCCTGGAGCCAGACGTCGCCGTTACGTTCCAACCTACGGAGCCGGCGCTCCATGTCTCGCAACCGATGCTCGCGGTACGCTTCGTATAAGCGCATGACCTCCTTGTCTGCTTGAGAAACCGAGCCGTTCTCGTATGCCACTCCACCCGAAGCTAACTGTTGTGTCCTTGCTCTGGCCATAGCCATCGCATCGCGCGCCCTGCGCTCCTGTTCCCTGATGGCCTTCCATTCTCGTCGACGGGTCAAGGACGTGCGATCTGACACGCCATGTTGTTGTGATGGCGAGCCACACGTGGAGGCTGGCGGGGTCAGAATACTTTGTGTGTTGACGGTAGTTGAGGGCAGAGGCATTTCGAAGTCCGCCTTTGAAGACTTCTTTGCAGGCGCGGTCTTGGGACGGACGGGCTCGCCCTTTTCGCCTGCAAAAGACGGCTCGACATCCATCACCACCATGAGATCACTCAATGTTAAGGTTGAATGACCCGGCATAGCGTTTGACGTCTCGTCCGAAACCGCTGCTGCTGGTCGTGACGATGGTTGGGCAGTTGATGGTCGCTGTGTCGCCTTGGAAGCATCTTTTACCAGCAGATCTTTTACTTTTGCATTCCACTTGGCCGCCTCAATGTCGCGCCGCTTTCTCTCTCTAACAATATCCTTTCTGTTCCAGCTTGACCCTGAGCTTGCGTGTCGATAGTCCTCTGAATGTGACAGAACAGGAGCGTCTGTCTTCGAAGCAGTATTCCGATTTTGGCTATCGTCCCGGCTTAGTGCTGCACTCAAGTCTCTGATGTACGACGGTCCGGATTCTGATCTGTGAGCATCGATGCTGTTCACAGGGTGGTTGTTGTTGCTCGTTGAAAGTGCTCGCTGCAACGGAGCCTGGGTCAACGAGTTGGACAAGTGTTTCGACCGCGCACCATTGCTCGCTCCCGCAACCTGGTCCTGCGGTGATATCAAGCCGTCAATAGACGGTGGGTGTCTCACAGACCTATTGGAAACCATACTAGAAGCTCGTGCAGGGTACGCAGACCGCCGAAACACCGCCGGATTTTGTTCGCCTACCGAGCCGTCATCTCTCGATGGACTTCGCAAGATATGCCATGGTGCCGAGCTGTCATGAAGTAGTGGCGTGTCAAACTTTGTTGGCAAAATGCCAATATAATCATGGACTTGGCCCGTTAAGCTGTTCGTTGGCTTGTGTGGCGGTAACAGAGGAGGGCGGTGTCCCTGGGAGTTCAAATATGGCGATCGAGATTTAGTAGCAACCGAACCAGCATCTGACTCATATACCTCCGTCACGGGCCGCAAAACGGTAACAACGCCCTTTTCATTCCTGAACGTTCTGATCGGTCCTTTGCTTGGTGTTCCAATTTGTGTGTCGTGGGTGAAGACAGGATACTGGGACCGTATCTCAAACCCATACGGAATTGCCTCAATTGGAATCGAAATGGCAATGTGCCTATGCCCTCCAGTGGTGATGCCTGCCACTGCCGAGTCTGGCAGTTGGATGTTTTGTGGTTGCTTGGGCATGGATTTGCTCCTTCTTCCTATTTTCTTGATTTTGGACCATCTTCCGCGGCCATGTCCCTCATCTCCGTATGGTATCGACATGAAGTTATCAGGCGGCGGCGGATGATTCTTCAGAAAATCTACTAGAGCTGCCACGTCATCTCTGGCTCGACGAGCACGAAGTCCCTCTCCCAGCAGCATTGTGTCGTGTAAGTCGCCAGCGTAGAGGTTGCTGCTGATGCTGTGAAGCTGGAACTCCGAGCAAGGTCGCTCCAACTTCTCCTCAGCACGATGACGGGCTTCCACGCCAGTATGGCTTCGGCGATGAGAGGAGAGGCGGCTAGAACCCAGATGCGACAGAGAAGAGTCGGCATCATCTCTTGATGACAGCGTGAATCTCCTGCTGAGTGAAGCTGGACGAGTCATGGCCGCTACCTAATATAAGAGGAAAAGCTATTCGTCAACAACGCTAGTTCCCGATATTGAAAGCCTGCCCTTGCATGTATGTAAGAAGGAGTCGGTCGGTTTCGAGACGCAAAACGAAACGAAAGGCAGTGGCTGGAGTATGAACGAATAACACTTGCGTCAGACCTTTTACTGGACACTGCTTAAGACAGGCATATGTCTGTGTTGCTGCAAGGCGTGGACCAAGGTCGTGTCTCACCGGAAGCCTTCTCGACATAGAAACAAGCTGAAGGGCTGGGTATGGATCGGCGAGAAGTCCCGAGATCTCAATTCTAAGGAATTTACCGAATAGAGACTAAACGGAAGGAAAATATTACAGACCAGCACCAAGATTGGCCGTCAAATTTTGAGACGGACGAGTCGTATTACAAGAGACGGGTTCCAAACCGGCTACAAGGCAAAGACAAGGAAAGACAAGGAGAGGAAGGAAGGGGCCCAGAGCACGGGCAAAAAGAAAAAAAAATCGATATTATACAGAAGGGGAGAAAGAAGGGTCCAGTTCAATACGTTGGATGGAAAGTAAGATCTGAAATAAAACAGCCTCGTTAAGAGAAACTTGAAAGGAGAAACCAGGCAAGAGACCGGCAAATCCAATGGGCCCCGAGCTGACGAAGGAGAGCTTAAGCTTTTGGAATCCTTGTTAAGGCATTGGGGAACCGGTTGTTGCAACTCTTTTTGCTCTTCACGATTTACAGCTCTAGAGGCCAACAGCGTAGGTGGTATCCGGCAGGGTGGTAGAGGCGACTGGGGTCCCTTGAATCGTTTATAAACAAGCGACTGGACGGCCAACTTCCTTGATTAATGAAACAGTTCTTGGCCTTTGTCTCTTGTGCTTTAGGCGTTCACATCCGGGCAACGCTCGACATTAGTATTTCTTCCCGGGCCGGGGGGCTGGTGAGTGGGCTCATGAACTGACGGACGCGGTGCTATTGTTGGTCCAGAGTTTTGCGTCCTTTTTGTTTGAGATGACAGTACGGAGGAACGCTCACAGCTTAATACTGGGATCTTGGGTTGACAAGACAATATTGCCTTCTTCGCTATGCTCAGAAAAGAACGTATCTTTGCATCATGGTCGAGCTCTGACCCTGTGTGACGAGAAGAATTCTTGCATCTCTGGCTCCAATAGCGGATGGAGGTTCTCCCCATTGCCTTGGGATTCCTGCTCAGAAAAAGAAACACCCGGTCCTAGCGTGATGACGAGCCTGCAGCCCTTCTTAGCGGATGGCAGGGATTGGATGACAGGGTCAAGATTGCACGATGGATGACCGTCGGGTGAGGTTGAACAGTGCCGCGGCCCACTCGACGATGCAAGAGGCGTCGCTCGGCCACCGGAGAGACGTGCAATGTGGGTGGACAGATGGCAATGGGTAGCGAGAGACTGGAGGCGGCGACCCAGTGCCCCAGTGAGCTGGCTTGCTCTCATATGTGTGCAACTAATTAAGCTGTTGCTTGTTTGTTGGCATCCCGGACGGGGTCCTTGTCTTGCAGCAGCAAGCGCAAACAGGGATAGTAGTCGACTGCAACCTCGAAATCATCCTCAGATAGCGTACAGCAGCTGGCTCTAGGCACAGAGAAACCGGCAAAAAAACATTGATCAAGGACACGCTGCATATTTTCTGAGAGGACGGGGTAACCGAGGAGGAGAATAAGACGAGCTGCCAAGGCTCTGCATGTATAACAGTGTTCTGCGTGCGGAGGTGACGTCTGGACATGGAGGTGGGCATTCGCCCCTTTGCCGGCGCGCGCTTGTCATCACGCCAGCCATGAAAGGAGAGTTGCTGCTAACCCGGACAGGATACGGGGTAACATCTCTTCGTCAACTGATGGTGGACTGACCGAAAGCCGCGGAAACCTGTTGAAGCGAGCAAGCAGAATGCATGGGTAGAAAGGCAAAAGATGTACTCCGTATGGCACCGTCACACCAGACATGGACCTTGAAGCCTGGCGCCACTTCGACGATCGGCACTGGATGTCGCTCCGTCGGCAGCCACGAACCACTCACCACTTGCCCATCACCTGAACTTGGGCGTATAAAGACAACACTTGAGTACAACATGTTTTCCTTATACCTTGCAAGTCATTAATTCAATACCTCATACCAAGGTAATAAACAAGTAGTACAAGGGGCTAATGACAAATCTTTTTACAAGAGAGTTGTCCTAGTCTCCCACCGTGCCCACAAAGCTACCCAGGCAATACCGAGTGCCATCCATCCGTTGTCTGTCATGACAGGGTTCTTGGCCACGGCAGATACTCACATTACGTAGCATTACGAACTGCCAGTGCCAGTCAACAGTGTTACATATTACATATGCACAACAGACGAGCAACGCAGCTGCGCAACGCATCTGAGATCAACCATCAGCAAGGGTTTCTTGCAGCCACAAACCTGGGGCCAAGCAAGTCACCCGGCGCAAAAAGGATACCTTCGGTCAGGGATTTTGGCATCGGTGCCTTTCCATCGTCATGGTGACTGCCGTTGTACGACTTCCCCTGGTGAACAATTTCGTAGTGTTTTAAATTTCGGCAGAGAAGCTGAAGGGTTGGTGTTCAAATTCTCAATTGCCCCATGTCTCTACTATGAGGGCAGCAAGCAGGACCCAATCTGAGACATGGACACAGCTGTCGTTGGCTGAGACTTTTCATGGTTCTTCCTTGCGGCATTGTCCAGACAATAATTAGTACGTACCTTGCGTACATAATAGGCTCTGGGTAGATACGGAGTACATGGTAGCACCTTGGAAAAAGGAATGAAGGATACTGCGTCTATCTAGCACAAATGCACACCATTGTGTTCAAGTATCGCAACGAAGCAACCACTTCCCGGTGTCAATCGTTCGTGAAATAGCCGCATCATCAGCCATTATCGAACTTTGGCTGGTCGTTCGCATCCATCCCCGTCAAAACCTTCTATTCTTGATACCCGAGAAGCCCTACCAAACCCATCTCTACGTGCCCTCCCTATTCAAATCTAACACTTGATGAATGCACCACACGTGCATATCACATGGCATCAAGAGGGGAAAAAACGCCTATACAATGCTCCCCACCCGTCTATATTATGCGCCTTCGCAATGCTAATATGTCATCCCACGTCCGTTGGAATAAAGCAAAATATACTCGATTTCCTACGACATCACCTCTTTTTGGGCATGAATAAACTTGGTTTGGCCTTCTTCCGGGGCGCCGTTGGTATGGGCTTATTCATCGGCTATTTTGCAATCGTGAGCTACATTTCCAAGACAACAGTGACATCCGCCTCAAAACGCACCTTTGCACCAGTCATGGAGTTACTGGGTTGATCCGATGTCGACATCAACCCATTCGGTGCCTGATTCATCGGAATTGCTTTCGAATTCATCGCTGAAGGAGGAGGGGGTCGTTCCGGGGGTACCATCCCGAGGACTGACATTGCCGACGGATCCTTGGGCGGCGGTGGCGGCTTCGTCTGTTTGACGGGCTTCTGTCCGAATTTGCCCATCAGGCCGCCCCGCTGCGTACTCGCAATCTGCTGTGGTATTAGAAATCTGTGCTTGGTTGCTGGTTGTTTGGACTGCCACTGATATGCCACATACTCTCTTTGCTGCTTGCTGTCCCGGGTCTGACCCGTCCAGCGGTCGCTTCTTTGGCTCAGAACCTTGGTTATCTGAAGTGTGTATTACAGGCAGACCCGGTCCGCGTGGAACAACATTCGGTATACTGCCATCAGGGGTCTTTCGGGTTTGATTTCCATTGCTCAAGGCCTGGGGGGGAGTGGATGGTTCTGATTCGATATTGTTCACACCATCTGTGATAGTATTTGCTGCTGGGGAGTCGAGCATCTCAATATCTTCGGGGGACTCCTTTTGAGGTGCTTGGTAGGTTGACGGACTGGCTCTTTGCAAAGGCTTTCTAAACATTCCTAGTATATCGCCCTTTGTGTACCTGTCTCTGGCTTTGGCATCCTCAATTAATTTCTTCCAGAACTCACCCTGAACCAGTGCTCTAGAGTCTCCTAGAATCCACAGTGATGATTTGGCACGAGTCAAACCAACATTCATACGGCGAATATCCGTCATAAAACCAATACCTCCCGTTGAGCTGGCTCGTACGCAGGAGAATATGATAATTTCGCATTCTCGACCTTGAAAAGCGTCGGTGGTGTTGAATTCGATAATATCAGTGATATTCTCGCCGTATCGACTTGTAAAGCGATTCCTCAGCTCGAACAATTGAGCTTTATAGGGGGTAATGATGCCAATCTTGCCTGTAAGATCACATTGCTTGTACTCTTTGCTGAAACGGTCATATATCTCCATGGCAACTTGCAGTTCCCTGGTGTTGACCAGTGATTGACCCTTTCTGCCTTTTTCTTGAACACCCTCCACATCAAAGAACCGATAAGGGCCAAGGAGAGCACTCTGGTGCCAGGGCTGCTGTCGAAGCTGCAGCATGTCTTGCCCGTCTTGCAGCTGTCCTTCGTAGAATTCTTTGCTGGGAAACATGCTAATCTCTGGATGCATTCGGTATTGCATATCGAGTAGATGGACAGACCTGGGATGGTTCTGTTGCATTCGAACGAACAAACTCTGGTCGTAGCCAAATCGTGCAGCAGACTGAGACAAGACAGTTGGGGGAAGCTGCTTGGGGTCACCTACAAGTATACATTTACAGCATCCATACTTGAGTGGAATCAGGGCGCTAAGTTCAACACATTGAGCAGCTTCATCGATAATAACGGTTTCAAACTCGACATCCAAGTTGCGGAACATCTCATGTCCACTACCGCTGAGTGTTGCACAAAGCACATGAGCGGAGTTGAGGATTTCCTGCTGAACTTGTCTGCGACGCATCTCCATCTCTCGAGCAAGGGAATTGCCGCTATCCTTGTTTGCATCGATTTGTTTACCAATGTTCATTTGCTGCCGCTTTAGCTCGTCAAATTTTCGGGAGAGAGTGTTTTGTGTGATACGATTATCCTGTGCACGAGCCTCATCAAGGAGCTGCCTAATTTCCGCAAGCTCTTCCTTGATTTTTGCCGCGTCTCCATGAAGCTTGTCTCTTTCGGCCTTGGCTTTATCTTTGGTATTGTCACCCTCCATTCGAATTCGGACAAGTTCGTCGAGCGTGACATCCTTGACGGCAGCATTAATAGCATCGCTCCTGCCGAGACGAAGCACATTGATAGGTTTCGTCTTTCCACTACTAGTCTTGATGCCGCTCTTTAAACGAAGTACTAGTTCATCAACAGCTGCGTTACTGGGAGCGCAGACAAGAAGTTTCTTCGGGCGGCCTTGAGCAGCAGGTATGGCACCGGCCGAGGGGCGCAGTGGAGCACCCACAGGTACGCCGTTCGAGACTTGGGCAAGCTGTTCTGAGAGTAATGACCCAACCATTGCGGTAATAGTCTTGGTCTTGCCAGTTCCAGGCGGTCCTTGAATAAGTGTGAAGCCATCGTTGTCTTGAGCCCCCAGTACCGCCACAGCCTGGCCATGGTTAAGAGTCCAATTTTGCATGGCGTTCGAAATCTTTTCCTCCCCGTATCGAAGAATCGGTGACGGTTCAGCTTTCAAGATTTCATCCATGAGATCGTAATACTGTAGACTTTCCAGCGCAGCATATTCTCTTTCGATGGTAGTCATATTAGTTATCTTGACGCCATACACAGTGACTCCAGGCATCAATAAGGTCGATAGTTGGTTGTTACGTGATGCGACACGGTATGTAATTTCGATGATATCCTTTTTGTACGTTATTCGGTGAACTCTAGCCAGACAGTGTCTTGAGTTAGGGTTTTGGAGAGGGCTCTCGGCTTCGGAGACCAAGAGAATATCTCCTTCTGAGACCCCCCTTTCGCGATTTTGAATAACAGGTAAGGTGAAGGCTACTTCCAGAAAGCTGTCAACACTTGCCCTGCTTGCAAGTTTCATGCCGAAGGGCTGAGCCGTTATCTCATCCTTTGCAGTCACGAAAGAACGCCAGGCCTCGGAAGAGAGCAAAGGAAAAAACGTTGCTTGATACGACCGCGGATCAAGATACTTCGTAGCAACCTCGGAGGCAGCCGGACCATTAGGAGGGTCGTTGCCTTGGTGGAAAATGTCCCATGCTAGAATGGTGTTGTGAAGTCTATCCATAGGAGGGATCAAGCGAGCTCTCATTTCTTTCACTGAACGCTGCTGTCGAATCTTCTTGACCGGCCTGCGGAGTCGGTCACGCAGAGCCTGCTGCCGACGCTTCTCATGCTCGTCGAGACCTTTCTGACCGCCAGTGCTCAACGTTGCAAGCTGCTCGTCCGAGTCAGAATCTGCACTATCATCGTCTGATTCCTCATCAGAGCTGTTAACCATGATTTCACTTCTTGCATTATCTTTGCCTGTTGATTCAAGACTCTGAACTCCTGATCCTTCTCCTGTGACAAGTTCTCCCCGAATCTTCTTGGCTCTGGCAATAGCCTCAGCATCCCTCTTGGCTTTCTCGGCCTTTTCTCTCTGCCTGCTCTCCTTGAGTGCCGAAATGGCCTTCATATCAGGACCCTTGGACTTGGCCCTTGCTTGCTGTGCCGCAAGCTGCTTTAGAACTGGACTATCAGCAGATCTGCTAAATTCCAGAACGTCATCTCTATTGGACCTCCCAGCTTTATCGGAAGAAGTGCCAGGAGGCGCTGACTTGGACCAAGCATCCAGCTTGCTCTGCTTCTTAGACTTTTCCTTGCCTAAAGCAGTTGTCCGATCTACCACACTGGTAGTAGGCCCAAGTTGGATTATTTGAACTTCTTCATCATGACCGAGGGCTTGAAGCAATTCAGCTCGTTGTTGGTCTGTTAAATTCGTTGAGCGAAGATACTTCCCGGCAGTCCCAGTAGGAATGCAGGCGTCCGTGATGAGCTTTCGTGAGGCGGCATTGATTTCCAGTTTATTTTCCCGAAGTCTAGTCAAGATCTTGCAGAGAACTCGAACGGTAACGTCAACTAACCATCTATCCTTCAAGCGAATCATGTTTTCCATTCCCCGAAAGTTCTCTTTCGCCGGGCCCAGAATGATTGGCATCACGTCCTGTTCATTTTTGCCCAGAGCAGTAGCAGAAGTGAGAAGGCCGTCTTCTGCAATAAGAGCTTCAGCTAGTTCCATAATTTCTCGACAGAACTCGGTCATAATCGCGTTTGAAATGCAAAATGACCAAGATTCTATGTTAAGACAGGACTTTGAAACGAATCTCCACTGCTCATTCCACCAGCGTAACACTATAGCGACGGATTTTGAGTTGAGGGTCTTTGTTCTAAGGACACCCGAAGTCGGGTCGGACAATCCTCTGAGAACATCCCTGCTCATATTGAGCAGCGGACGGATAGGCCCCCAAGGAAATGGTGGTTTAAGAATTCTCTCCAGTGTCCAGACGATAGAAGATAGAGTTTGTTCCGGATGTAGTTGAGACATGTGTTCTATGGCGCCACTCCGCGATAATTCACCGGTCCAGCTTTTGAGAATCTCTGCTGAACCTTCAGACAGGTTAGAATCGTCGTGGACGGATAACCCTACAATAACCTGAAAGGGCAATCGATCTGCAAAAAGGAGATTCAAATCGGTTGCGTCCACTTCAGAAACTCGACCCAAGATTCTTGCTAGCACATCGGCAATGCTACCAAGTGATGTGTTGAAGCGCTGGCTAGACTCATCCAGTTTGTTGATGCTCTTGCGTGGCCGTATCTGTTCGACAGAGATGAGAGGAGCAAGGGACACTAAGACATCTTTTGCCAGCGTCACTTGATCTCCCGAGGAGTCGAATATCTCCACAATGGCTTCCCAAAATGCCTTTGACTCACGGAGAATTGTTGACTGGAGCTGCTTTTTGTTGTGAATAGCCTGGAACTCCTCCAAAAACATCTTCATATCCAATTTCATAGCGGCATGTAGGACTGACATGGCCGCATCGGAGACTCTGAAAGTCGTCCAGCCCTCTCGGGAATCTCGTGGTGGCCGCAGACTTTCCAATATGAGGTCCTTGTTCTTTACCACGAGATTAAAAGCGCCACCAGCGTATAGATGAGTCGTACCGGATGCGGTTTGCGTATTGGGATCTAGGAAGGACTTCAGGGTGAAATTTATAGCGTCAAAGCCAGCACGAATACATGCGGCCTGCCCCGGTTCACCAATGAATGAATCTTTTGCCAAAGTCGCAAACAGTGTGTGCATGAGAACCTCACAAGCGTCATATCTACGGTCTCGACCCAACGACGTAAGCCAAGGTTGAATCCAGGATGTAGGAAAAGGGACAACATCCGAATCCATACTGAATCCACTCCAGCAGTCGTCAAGAGATTGGCGAAGCAAAATCTTGTAAACAGGACTAGCAAAAAGCAGGTCGGCAATTACGTTTGGCCGAGCGTCACCGATTACATCCCAAAAGGCTTTTGGATAATCTTTTAAGAAGATTGTCAGTACTCGAATCGTCACAACCAGCATACCTTCTGAGGTGCAGGTCTGAATGTGACGGAATAGTAAGTCGTAAATGCTTGAGCCTTGGCGCAGTTCCAGACTGCGGAGGCGGCTGTGAATGAGGTTCTCTGGCAGCTTGGTCAAAATTATTTCAAACCCTTCCCAGAAACGCTCGATAGCCAGTCGTTCTTCATCCGAGGACTGAGGAGTAACCTGAATTCTGGCAATGTCATCTATCGCACTGGTCAATCCGTTGCTCACGGCCCAGTCAAACTGGGCCTCCGTCATCGACTGAGAGTCGATGAATTTCCAGTTTTCTTGTGCCCATTTTCGACGGTCATCATTCTTCTGATCAAACAAGAAGTATGTCATGCCAGGGAGTGGATCGCTTCGCCCGAGCTTGAGATAACTCTTGCCCTGCAACCGCATGAAGACGTACTGAAAAATGGCACGCTGGTCAGGTGTTGACATGAACGGCATGCAGCAAAGAGCCTCGTAGACAGCAATAAGAACTTCTGGCAACTTCTCTCCTAATTGCGTCTTTTTGAAAACATCGCCTCTTTCCTCGATTTTGCCGATGTATTCTTTCGCCCACTGAAGATTGCAACTAATTCTGGCGATGTCGATTCGGTTCAGCATCTGTTCTATGTGCTCGATGACTTGTTCATTCCATTTTCTGTGCTTGGTCAGTAGGCTCGCTACAAAAACTAAGGACTGGCAACGTACTCGGAAAATCTTTGCAGATAGACCTGGCGTTGCATGTGCCAGTTGAGGACGCATTCGGAGCAACTCCTTAGCACATTCTCGAGTCTATCTTTGAACTCCTCTGCCCATTTCCCTGCCTCGCTTTTATCAAATCCAAATATCAGGCTGTTCCAGTACGTGATTTCGAGGCGGTGATGGCCATCTTCGATCCGCTGTTTTTTGTCTTCGACAGTGATTTGGGATTCGGGGTCATCAAAGGTTTTGTAATTTTCGCGATCGTCGGAGTCGATTTTCGGGCAGAGTAGATGGCAATCATGGGGGAGCTTCTGTAGTTCCTCGTACCACTTTGCCAGTTCCTCGTTAAGATCCGACATGTTGGCGTTAGAGTCTCGTGCCCATCCCCAAACATCTGCCTAGCAAGTGGAGGACCGCCAGGTCACTATCCAGGCTCGTAGGCAGATGTAGGAGCCTTAAATAAAGGTGTTTCGCAGTATTCAAGTAGTCTACAGAGGTGATGGATTGAGGATACGGCAGGACAGGTTGACGAGGTTGAAGTTGTGGAAGGTAGAGAGGTCCAGGTATTGAAGAAATCGAAATTGGTTCAGACGGAAAGCCAGATAGCTTCCAGGCCCTGCAGCCCTCTTCAACATGTAGCAATTCAGCCGCTATAAATGCAGCCCAATCACGGCTGTCAGGGATCGAGAGATGAGCCACGTCGGCGATGCCTGGAAGTTGAGAGGTGCGGGCTCGGAGAAGCAGGGAGTTAAATGAGACCAGGAATGGCTGTTCGAACCCTTTTTTCCCCCCCACCGGAACAACTCTACGCGTGAAGTGCATGCGAGATGGCGCGTTTTGAAACCGGAAGGAGCACTGACTGCTGGTAATCGTGCCCGCCCCACCTTAAATGGTCTGGCTGGCAAAGCTCTCACCACCAACTTTAGTTGGTGAGGCCTCGCGAACCAGTACTAAATGTGGGGCGAGGCACGATTAGGTATATCCGCTGGAGGTGGAGGCTGCTGCGGTGCATCTGGTCTGGTGCAATGTGGCCCGTGCACACCGGCCTGTTCCTGTCACTGTTCTGTCGAGGTTCTTATTCCACTTGGAAAATCGCCAGTGCTCAAGACCAATCAGGGCATGAAACTACCAGACATTAGGATCTTTGAATGCTTACTTAGTCAGTGGCTCTTCCCTTAATGTCGAGCATCGTAGCATATTCATACTCAGGTAGGTAGGATGACTTTTGATGCGAGGCCTGAAGAAGATTCCAGACGCATTGCATCACCTTGGATGATAGCGCCGAGGTGATCGATATTCTTCATTGATCCCTTTATTGACCTAATATCAGAAAGCCATGCAGAATTCACAGAACCAAGCTAATACTCTATTATTCTCGACAGACTGGATTCCGAGAGACATCCAGGCTTATAAGCGGGATCGCTCTTATGCCGCTTACTTGTAGCCTCCTGACTAATGTCCAACATGCATTTCAACGAGTTTGTAACTACCTAGGTAGGTATAGAGGCGTTATGTCTTTAAATAAAACTACTATTACCTTGGAGGTTTGACAGTGACACCTAAATGGCGGTTTACGCAACGCTATCCTGCTCAGCTTGGCTCTCCTTACTCCATTGGTCCTAGCCGAGGCGGCATCGTAACTCCCATCCCAGAAGTGAGGGCATTGTGAGCTGAGAGTGAGAGTTCCTTCAATAAGAGCTTCACTGTCGGCTCATTATGCAAACGGCCAACGGCTCTCGTCACATGCGACGAGCCGGATGAACAGTTGATTTTACATATACTCAAATCTTCTCGCCCCAAGTATTACAAGACTGGATGCATATCCTCTTCATGACATGAGAAACTCTCGTCTAAACATTGACACTCGACTCCCTCTTTACAGTTCCTGTGTCTGATTCTCATTTGGTTGTACTCGCTGGGCTTATTTTTAAATATGGCAATTCAATTGACAGATTGATTCCCCGAAAAACATCCTGGAACCGCGCGACTTCAACCCATACCAAAGCTACCTGCTCCTTTAGTCTGGAGGTTTCTCGAGCTAAGCTTCCTATAGTTCAAGGGAATATCCATGGTGGCGATGGCACCTCCTTCGGTGATATGTTTTGAAGAAGGATCTCAACGGTTGCGCAGCACCAGCGTTGCGTCATCACGCACACTTGATCTCGAGAACGATGAACCAGACGAAGGAAACTATGCCAACATAATAGATTGGATCAATGATATCGGTAATTCTGCAGAAACGCAGATGCCTGTGCGTACAGCGCAGCAGAACCTCATGACTCTCGCGCAGCCGAGCATTCGGGCTGGAGATGTGATCGAAGTCAAGAATACTATGATCGGTGATTACCGAGTAGACTTCATACAAGTAAAGCACATTTCCCGAGCAACCTTATCTGGCCGAAAATTTCGAGGTGTCCCGTTTACCAGGACGAAAAATATGCGAGGTCGGCTTCCCAAGAAGGTGAATGAAGTGTGCATGATGCTGCACTTTCAGCAAGCAAACGGACGCACCCCAGACGACTTTGCATTGTTGATTGATATCAAAGAAGATCATGTTGTGAGAAAGCGAAACCTTATAATTACAAACGCAACATTTCCAGAGCATTCTGTGTTGCATGGTCCGCAATCCCGTCTGTCCATCAGAAGCAGAACCCAAGCCCTCAAGCGCCACATTGAACAGTCAGGTAACCTCTGCTGTCGATGGAAATGGATGGTATACCTTGTCGATAATCGTAAGGACCAGAAAGTTGAGGAAGAGGTTCTGGAACGGATATCGACTGAAGAAGTTTTGGATCGCCAATATCTTGTTGACCGAGAGGCTTTATGCAATAGATGGAGAGGAGGCCGTACCAGAGGCGGTTCCTGGACTCCAGACCAAGGCTCCTCTGGTCAGGCCGTTGATCTCACTCATGATTCGAGCATTCCAGAGGGGAGCTCCCGAGCAAGTAACCAGAAATATACCTTTTTTGACGCCTTTTCAGGAGCTGGCGGGGTCTCGAGGGGTGCTCAGAATGCGGGATTCAAGGTTACTCATGCCATCGATAAATCGCCAGATGTGTGGCGGACATACTCTCTTAACTTTCCCGAGACAAAACTTTACAAATGGCCTGTTGACAGGTTCATTGGACAAACAGATGATTCTTCCATTCGAGTAGATGTGCTTCACATGTCTCCGCCCTGCCAATACTTTTCTCCAGCACATACAAAACCTTGTGCCCATGACGATGACAACATATTAGCGCAGCGTAGCTGCCCTGCGCTGGTGAAGAAGCTGCGTCCGAGGCTGATCACCATAGAGCAGACCTTTGGGCTAACATTTGATCGACATCGACAATACTTTTACTCACTTATTAGAGGTCTCACGGAGCTTGGGTACTCTGTTCGATGGAAGATCGTGGCACTATGCACCTGGGGGTTGGCTCAAACACGCAAACGACTTATAATAATTGCTGCAGGGCCGGGAGAGCAGCTACCAAGCTTTCCTCCGGCGACCCATTCGGAGAAAAGCAAAGATGGTTTGCGTCCATATACCACAATTCGACAAGTTCTAAGCAGAATTCGAGAGGGTGACGACTTGCACAACCTTGGTACCGTCGCCCAATTTACCCCTAGGAGACGCGCCTCAGGTTTTGACACTTTGCTGGGAACAATTGCAGCTAGATGGGGAAGTTTGTACTATCCTGATGGAACGCGAAATTTCACTCTGCGAGAATATGCCTGCCTGCAAGGGTTTCCAAAGATCCATAAGTTTCGGGGGACAACAGTCGGCATAAAATCCCAGATAGGGAATGCCTTTCCGCCCAGCTGTGTCAAGTTTTTATACAAGCATCTGGAAAAGTGGCTGTTGCAACAGGACCGTGTTCAATCGCATCAGCCCGAGGCGGAAAAAGTGGTAATAATTGACGCAGAAGTGCTTGATACTGAGAGCTTCGATTCAGACTCGCCAGGAGCAATGAACCTTACCATCGACTTGACCGATGAAGACGTACCTGGCCTCCATACAAGCATTATCACGTCCAGTTCTTTCATGGACCTCACGTGAGATTGCCAAAAGGAGCCTAAACGACTGCGCCGCGGTATTCAAAAGAAAAGAATTTCGGAGCTAGTGATTCAAGATTCTGTGGTTTATATCATGAATACCTAGGTAGGTATATTGGGTGCTAGTTCTGCCCATGATGGAGAAAAAATGTGACAAGCCTTGAAGGGGCATTCGGAGCGAGAGCTGTTGCTGCCTGCCTACCTAGATACCTAATGCCTAGGTAGGTATTATAATGATATAGAGATAACTTGGAACAATAAGCGAATGTTAATCCCAGAACACTAGGTGGACGAGGACAATACAATGAATATTTCGTTTCTAAGTGCAGTTTTCTCCCCTGACTAGCAAGGAGCTTGGTCTATGTTAGCTTGCAGCTAACGATATTATAAAGCTCACTTTTAAATTGGATCCAATCCGATTAAAATCAAGGACAAGAAAAGAACACAAATCTTGTCTATAGCGGCTGGGTTCGAGAGTCTCACTACGTACTTTGTATTTACTGTGCTGGGATGAGCTGGTGCTTAGTTCCCGTCATTGCCCTGAGCCGGAGATAAAAAAAACAAGCATAGATTGAAACCTGGCCTTGGGAAAACTTGAAATTCTTAATGAGTTTAGGGCCTTTATCAGATAAGATCATGCCATTTGGTGCTAAGATACTTGAGGAAACAGAGAGTGGGCAGTTGCTGTCGGCTGGCAGCCAGTTGGCGAACTCTGTTAGCTGCCTCGGATTCTTGCCTTCCCCCATTCCGATGCGCCATTGACTTTTTTCTCGCCTTTCTATTGCCTTGCGGTCTTATTGCACACCAGGAGCATCCAAATTTCTTGGGACTTCTCTCCAAAAAGCCCACTCGACAACGCTTTTAGAATGTCGCGGACGGGACCTGATATTGAACAGTCACTGTCACTTCAGACAATACCAGACACCGTGAGCTTTTTACAAACCCCTAGGGAAAACGTAAATCTTGGCTAACATCTACTAACGAAGGCACTTGTACCTCTACACACATTTCCGATTCAGGAAGAATTTGCCTGGCGTCATGAGCAAGGTACGGAGATTGAAATGTACAACGAGGAATATTTGCACCGAGTCTTGAATGAAAGGCGTCAGGAATTCAGATGCTGGGTGATTACGCCTTTGAGCAACTTGATTACAGCCTTCACGAAACCTTGGCTATTTCTAGTTCAGCCACCCGAAAACCTGGCATCGAGCGGTTTCCCAACCACCACCGACCGTTTCAAGATAGACATGGTTTCAAATGTCATAAGAGGTGGTAATGAATATTCTCTCGTGCACATACCAGCTACCCGCATCCCAAATCCGCTTGAAACCTTTGAATCAGTACGAGATACGAGGATCAAAACATTTGCAGCATACAAAGTCGATGTGCCACGATCTTGGACAAATTCGGAAGGAGATCACGTTGAGTTGGATTTGATGTCGGATTTTCAGATATCTTGTAGAGCAAGTGATTTGGACAAAATCTTTCTGGAGGAAAACGAACATCAGCTCCTGACCATCGAGTGGGATGTGAACTCTGCCACTTTTGAGGCAGAGCTCGACGCTCTTCGTTTTTTCACTGAAGAAAAACGTCTTCAGAACAGAGGCCCCACGTTGAAGTCTCAAAGAGCATTTCGTATGATTCAGAACTTTCATTCAAGTTGGAAAGACTTTTATGATCTCCACAAAGACTTCCCACAGTTAAGAAACCCAGAGCTGCCTAGGCATGCAGTCCCAGATGCAATTCTCCGGCGATTTAAAGCCTTTAGCAATGATCATTTGAGCGCTTTCAACGGCCTGAAGCAGATACCAAATGGACTCTACTTTGTCAACGGCTGTCCGGGGTCTGGAAAGACAGAATGGAATATGATTCTGGCAGGTCTGATACAATGTTCGAGAAGGAAGCACAAAAAAAAGCGAAACCCTATTCTGTTTCTGGTGGACATCAATAAAGCTGTAGACGATGCTGCTAGCAGATACTACTCGCTTTGTCGGGAGACTGGAGTAAATCTCCGTATCGTGCGTATGCATGGATGGCCACTGGAAATGCGACAGAGTGCTAAACTTCATGGATCACGGTCAACTACAAATGAAGACAGTTCGGCGGTCCCAGACTTTGCTAACCGATTTCTTGTGACCGCTGGCCTCTCCAGACCAGCGTGTCAAGAGATCCCAGCATTGTGCCAACTTTGGACGAGGCGTCATGGGAGTACTTTGAAAAGAACAAGAGGGACGCGTTTCTCGGCCTCCAAAAGTTATTGGACAAAATGGATAGTGGCGAAGCCTTGAGTACCGATAATTGGAAGCATTTGAGAAGCCATGTCTCTAGGCTTTATCGTGTTGTTTTGGCGCAGACAGACTTTATCGCCACAACTCCGGTCGCTGCGTGCGGAAGGTTCTCAAAGTTTTTTAAACCGGACATCATTTTCATGGATGAAGCTTCTCATGCCAGGGAGCTCACCACACTCATCCCTCTGGCATACTTTACGCCCAAGGCTTGGATATTTACGGGGGATGTGAAACAAACGCAGCCGTTCGTGAAGGATGCAAAGGACAGAGAGAAGCACAGCGGACTGAGATTCAACCCATTTGCTGCACAACTGAAGCTGAGTACCATGGCTAGGGCAGACCGCGTCAATGCTGTCAATAGCAAGCTACTCGTTAATAAGCGGGCATTTGGAAACCTCCATAGGCTGCCATCTGCTATGTTCTATGAAAGCCAGATGAGATCTGGCTATGACGATGCATCTCGATACCCTGAAGGCGTGGCCTACCTAGCTATTCACCTCCAAAGTCTAAATGGTAATCGACACATTGACGAGAACCGCATTATCGTGAATATGGAAAACAGCAATGAAGAAAAGTGTCGCGACAGCTATTGGAACCCCCTTCACCACCAATGGGTTCTGGCCCAAGCCACATGTCTACTACAGGATGACGGATTCCGCGGCCTCAGAGACAGAGAAATGGGTGGTACCATTATGATTGCAACTCCGTACAGCACCGCGGTAAAGCATTATCACGCCGCGGTGAAAAGCTGGCCAGAATCTTGGCAAAGAAGAACTCAGGTCTTAACAGTAGATAAGGCACAGGGGAATGAGGCCGACGTGGTGTTTCTAGACATGGTAAGAACAACTACTGCCGGGTTCATGGATGACCCCAAGCGGTTAAATGTTGCTATCACGAGAGCACGCCAAGCCGAAATCATCTTGATGCGCAGGACAATGGCTTATGTTCCTGGAAGAAGATTCAGTAGAAGCAATTATTTGTCGCAGCTATGGGACGATACACTTCTACATGGACGGATTGTAACGATATAATGGCGTGGCTCCATGTCTGGAAGACGTGCGGCACACTCCAGACTTGTTTGTCTTTAAATCCTGTCAACAGGAAGTTCGACCAGGAACTCATGTGTGCAAACAAGGATGAGTATGAATACAGACATGTGCAAAGGTGACGACCCTTGGTTGATATTAGAGTGCCTTTGAATGAAGAGGGTTCAGTTTAAATAGATCAACTCCAGGTTTTGTACGGAGGTGTGCTTCTTTTTTTCACTCGGCATGTACATGGCAACAGCCAGAACAGAACAGGTATGAGGCTGTGCTGCATTCAGAACAGTGTATTACCGCCGATCTATGTTGGAGCAGGGGTTGTGCATTTATTCATATTTCAAGAGAGAGCCAAATGTTTACTAAAGTGCGATAATTGAAATCAGTTTCCAGGATGATGGAGCGGTTTGCGACGCCCTTGGGTAAACAGATTGATAACCACGTATCACTCCCGCTAGCGAACCGTCCAAACGCGGAGTGGTTTGGTCACTGGCCTCTCTCAGTTGGGAGGACGGACATGCGAAAGACTGATTGTCTGCAAGGGTCCACGACTTGGGGTTGAATCGCCAAGACCCATATCCTAGTAGAGCCCAATCGAGGCAGTGACGGGCAGGATCGCAGGATCGCGTAACTGCATATATGGAAGCCGTCCAAGAATTGCAATATGATACACGGAGGTTTCTCGGTGTCAGAGGTGCGGAGGACGGGGGCATGTCGGGCGACGCGATGGCCATGGAGGGCGGTCGACCAAGAAGGCGGAGGCAGCCAGCCAACGAAGTCCGGTGCCGCGTGAAGGGTTGCCAAGGATGTCAAGGTTCAGTTGTTGTGTAAAGTTTCAAGGGCCGCCAGCATGTTACGAGCCCCACAATGCCCATGCTGACAGCGGGTAACCGCAAGGTGACCCGTCAATCGCGTTGGGGCTGTATTATGTTAGATGTATCGATTTATGGGATATTATTATATTAATACTCTTATTACCACTTAATTTACTAGTAAATAAATGTACCTTTTTAATTAAGCTTCTCATTGGATATGTATCCCTGCAGATCCCTTAACACACCAGAGGGGATGGGACTGGCGGCAGTGGTGAAAGGGTTTGGTCACCTTCAATTGTCACGGCTTTGTCGTCAACCACATTAATTGAGCGGGCCGGCTGACGGCGTCGTGTTAGCGACAAAGCACATTGACTTATTATATGTCCATGCCTAGAGCAGACAAAGGTAGCCGGCCTGGGCTGCAGTTCGTCGATTCAACGCATACACATGATGCCCAGATGCCTGACTTGAGTATGACGATGGGCATTTCGAGGTCGGAGTGGGATAGAGATGCGCTAGCCAGCTTTTGGATTGATGAAACGACGGTAAGCTTGATTTGGGTGACTTGCGCCACGGCCTACAAGGCGTGTTGTGTGTGTGTTGGAAAGATAACGGGCAGGATGACGATGGTGACGATGATGCAGGGTAGACAATGTCCATGTCGCGAACAGCGGAGCGGCGCCGCATTGAATGCTGAGATGAGGAGGGTTTAGCGTCTGGTGGTCTGGCGGAAGCCGCATGTGGCTGCAGCGGTCGGTGGGCAGTGGGCAGCTGGCCATGGAGAGCCGCCCAGATTGACGCCACCAATGGCCTCGTGTGCATCAAACGCGGAAATCCGTAGGGAGTACTCCGTAGGGACATCTGGTATCAATTGCACAAGTACCACCACTGCGGACACGGCACTGCGCAGAACAGTCAATCCGTTGACGACAGAGTCTCCCTCCGGGGCCTGCTATAACTGGTACACCACTGTACGTGTGCATCCTTGTACTGGACCTTCGCGTCGGCTTGTGCCGCAGGGGTCTTCAGCTTCCAACATGCGCACCCGTAATTACCGCCATTGACCATTACCGATTGCAGGTTTTATTTTCTATTCCCTTTTTCCCCCTTCCCCATCCTCATTTTCACTACGCTTTGCAAGTACATACCGTCATGTATGCTTGACAGTATCCAGACAGCGACCGCTCATCATCGTCGCCGTGTGCTACGCAGCTGTTGAGTCGGCCCCAAACGGGCCTTTGCGCGAGCCCCCATCGCGGGCGGCCTCCCAGGTGGACAGTTGCTCCATCCCATCGTTTGGTACCTTCAATGTTGGCACTTGATACTCGCACCGGTTGGCTGTCCGTGGTGACGGGCAGCGATCTCGTTGCGGCTGCAGTTTCTCGTGCTGTCCACGAGATCCCACCATTTTCATCATTGTATTCGAGAGCCGCCGTGGCCATGGCGGCCGCTACCGAGCCTGCCCTGAGAGCTTATAAACGAGACATGAGCCATGGAGCCATTGCGGGAACCGTTGTTGGTGTCGTCGTCGCCGTCGCACTGTTAACCTTTTGCCTCTATCCCGTTGTCATTCACCAAATCAAACGCCGAAGGCGAGCCCAACGCCCCAAGTTCGATGCCGAAGCAGGGCCTTTCCCCCAGCCTTCCAGCGGCCCGGTGCAGAATCCGTATTCACATCGTCGCCTGTCGTCTACAGACTCGTTCAAGCAGAATGGAGATGTTGCGCGAGGGGACTTTGGCGCCCTTCAGAACAAGAAGTTTAGCTGGTCGTCCCGTAATGGCCATGTGACGCAGCCGGATGGAAATTTTGGCCCGTCGAGACAGTTTTCTGCGCAAACAGATGATGGTTCCCGGCAAGAACAGAGTCATTACACTGGCAACGACTTTTCAAACGACGAGCCATTTCCATATTATTTTGAAAACACCCCCGCGGCAACAGCACACGATGATAATCCAGGGGTTCTCAAGGGAACCAGTGCTGATTATTACAGCCCGTCAATCCCCTCATCGGCGTTTGGCATGGTCACTACCCCAGAGCCTGCCGACGAACCACCTCGGACATTATCGCGTGGCAGCTCTCTGAAGCACCATCTAAAGCACATGTTTCGCCAGCAGAGCGGCCGCGAAAACTCTCTTGCGTCGGCGCTGTCCAGCGACGACAAAGCCACTGCGTCGCAGGTACCCTCAGGGACGGAGCTTGGGCAAATACTCACGACAGGCCGTGCAACCGACTCTCCAACCGAGCTTTCGCCCACCAAGACATCAATGCCACCACCTTTTGCTCCCGGAGTGACGGAACCACCAGAGAAGAAAGAATCGTCAGTGTCTCCTCCTCATCCGACGACTCAGACCCCACCCCAATCACCACCACCTCCGGCGCCGGAACGAGCGTTCCAGGCGTCGCCTTCACCGCCGACCTTTCCAGCTCCTGGTACTGTGAATCCTATGGATATTATGCCTGCGTCGACAGAGTCAGAAGTATGGCACAGAACCGAGCATCAATTGCATACCTCATACGGATCCTCTCCAGGGCTTTCGTCCACCAGTGACCCTGCTGAGCCAGAGCATTCCTCGACATTGGCATTTACACTTTTGCCCACATCCGCCCTGTCTCCTTCGGATGCTGCTCAAAACGCCCGGCCAGCTACTCCGACGAATCAGAACGCTGTTCAGGGGTTGCAGGCAATGGATGAAAAGGATGTGCCAATGGTTGACGTGCATAGCCACGATCACCTGAGCCCGTCCATGATCCCGGACAACGGCCGACATCAGAGTTGTACCTCGGACGGATCAACTCAATACCACGGGCCGCACTCGACCGGGCCATCCACCGAAAATACCCCTTCGACACAGTTCGACAGCCCTTCTCCAGGTTCAATGAATAGCTCTGAAATCCGCAACAGTGCTTCCCCGCAACCCGGACTAGCATCTCCAAGAACAGGGCTATTTCGATGCGACGAGCCTGGCTGCAGTCAAGTGTTTGACCAGCCACACAAGCTCAAGTAAGTGGGGGGAGGGGGAGTCAAAAATGACCATGCTACCAATGTCTTACGTTGAATTTGTAGAAACTAACCGCGAAGTAGACATCACCAGCGCTATCACATCAAAGAACACAAATGTCCTTACAAAAATTGTGGCAAGGGCTTTGGAACTAAGACGCACTTACAACGGCACATAAACGACCGCCATGAGAAGAAGAAGAAATTCCACTGTGCGTTTCCAGAGTGTGACTATTCCAAGGCCGGGGGCAAAGCATTCCCTCGCAAGGATAACTGGAAGCGGCATATGACCAAAATTCATAACATGGATCAGCAACATCTCCCAGAACCTATAGAAGTTGATTTGGCAATGGGCGGTGCATGATGTTGCAACTAGCACAAAAAAATACCGAGAAAGTGTCAGACTGTTGACACTAACTACCGTCAACCGGGACTCAACGCGACGGTTCTGCGACCATGACCAGAGTTTGGACGTGGACCGGGGCGCGTCGGCAACCCACGCCATTTTAAAACATATACCCCCGAGGCAGGCATTTCGCATATAGATGGTTGCAGCGAACATGTCTCCTGCTTCATCGTGACTTTTTTTCCCTTTGCGTTATTTTCGGCTACATTCACATGGAGCTGCCAACTCTTGTCTATCTTTTCAAACGGGGAATTAGCATCAACAGAGAGACTATGGAATAGGGTTTGGGACATCTAGGTATTAAGGACTTTGCTAGAGCAGCAATGAGGCGTTTGGATACAGTATTTTCTGGTTGATCATGACCGGCATGGAGAAGCGCTTTGCTAATTACAGACTTTACGGCTATGGGGCGTTGCGGTATATGTATGGTGTTGTGCGAGGAGCACCCTGTACGTAGTAACAAAAGGAAGGTTGGCGAACTGTTTCCGAGCTCAATAGAGAGAGCGAGAGGCGAGAGCTTCAGCTCAAATCTTTGATTATCTTTCGGACCAATTTCCTTTGGTCTTCTACTCCTAGTCTTCTCTCGTCTGTCTCCTGAATTGCTCTTCCGACAGCCAGGACAGTCTTTGTATTTTCGCTGTCCACCCAGAATCGCCCGTTGCGGCCCGTGGCCGTATCGAATTGCAAACCCAGCGCACCCAGCTCTTCCAACACAACAATCTTGCCTTCCTGCACGCTCTTGGGCATCATCAGCCGCCTAGCCATCCCTAATGATATGTCAAACATCATACCACCGGTTAAGGGCCCCAATCCATCCGACTTCCCCGTCGACGACGAAACACACTCCAATTCTGCATCCATATGCTTATTCGCCAGAGTGACGCGCGCGTAGACCAGCGCCCCGGGTGCCAAGACGGGACGTGTCTTCTTGGTCGCCGACTCGAAGGACAATTGCGGCAATAGCACGGGCGCAGTGTGATCTGATAGATGGACATAGTAGACATCCGCGGCGCTCTTATGAATCGTTCCTATGACGAGCTCTCCCACTCGAGGGACGTACTATAAACAATATCCCACCCCTCCGTTAGCCACATTTCCGCTCGGCTAGTCGATGAATGGTAATTGGTTTACCCGTCCATGTGAGGTTTCAACTCTAATCGCATTCTTTGGTCTGTCCGTCACAAGCTGGCCAGCCAGCGTGGGCACAACATCATTCGGAGGAACGTGCCGCAGGCCGGGGCCTAATCGGAGCGGCTTCTTGGGATGTGAGGGTACAAGGTCTGGTGGGATGTGATCGCCCGGAAGGACGAACACCGGCTCTGAAGACATGATGCCTGGTGAATAGCGGCGGAAGTTCCGTGCCAGCCAGTTCTTCCAGCCTTGTGTGGCGTGTTATCGTCGAGAAACTGTTTGCCCTTTGCAGGACGGACAATTTCGATGGAGGGGGGGTTCCAAAGCGGTTTAGCGGCCCACGGTGGGGGGGAAGAAGGTGTGAGCATGTTCGTTAGTTGGGCAGGTGCTTGACAACTGGGAAATTTTTGGAATAGAATTGATAGACGAAAAAAAAATTACCCCCACTACCCATTTTGCCAGGGCCCCAAACCTTGAACTACATTTCTTTCGACGCGGTCGCGACCGGTTTGTGGCAGAAAACAATCTGGAGCGTATTTTGCTTCTCTGCTATCGAATTCCAATCGCTCTTTGAACGACTTCGAATTTGCTTGCTCAAACCGCTCCGGATGTCTGAGAGTAGGGGCGCCAAACCCGGTCCCGAGCCGGCGGACCGGGTGGCTATTGGTATCACCTTCGGCAACTCCAACAGTTCGATTGCGTTTACTGTCGATGACAAGGCGGATGTTATTGCCAATGAGGACGGAGGTATGTCTTTTTAGGACTGGGGAGCTTGGATTGGATGTTTGCTGGGCGAATCGTGCTTGTTTGATGGGACACCGTGATACTGACCTTTTTCTTGGGCATCAGACCGACAGATTCCTACTGTTCTGTCGTACGTCGACGGTGACGAGTACTACGGTGCGCAGGCCAAGGCTTTCTTGGTGCGCAATGCCTCTAATTCGATCGCTTACTTCCGGGAGTTTCTGGGCAAGGAGTATGTATATGTATCCTTTGCGTTTCTGCGCAACGTGACGGGAAGAGCCGCGGTGCTAACAACGAGGCTTTAAATTAGCTTCAAGTCCATCGACCCTACCTACTGCCATGCCGCTGCTCACCCCCAGGACAACGCCGGCAACGTCTTCTTCTCCGTCAAGGACAAGGACGCCGAGGGCGAAGCTTCGTCCGTCTCTGTCAGCGAAGCTGCCACTCGCTATCTGCGCCGTCTCGTCACCTCTGCCTCGGACTACCTTGGCAAGAAGGTGACCTCGGCCGTCATCACCGTGCCGACAAACTTCAGCGACAAGCAGCGCGAGGCCCTGATAAAGGCGGCCAACGATGCCGACATCGAGGTTCTGCAGCTCATTTCTGACCCTGTCGCCGCCATGCTGGCGTACGATGCTCGCCCTGAAACTGTTGTCGAGGACAAGATTGTCGTTGTTGCTGATCTCGGCGGCACTCGCTCAGATGTTGCTGTTGTCGCCTCAAGAGGCGGCATGTACACCATCCTGGCTACTGCGCACGACTACGAGTTTGCTGGTGTCCAGCTTGACCAGGTGCTCATGGACCACTTCGCAAAGGAGTTTATCAAGAAACACACCACCGACCCCCGATCCAACGCCAAGAGTCTGGCCAAGCTTCGACAGGAGTCCGAGGCTACCAAGAAGGCACTCTCCCTGGGAACAAATGCCCAGTTCAGCGTCGAGAGTCTGGCAGAGGGCTTCGACTTCTCATCCACCATTAACCGCCTGCGATACGAAATGATTGGCCGCAAGGTCTTTGAGGGCTTCAACCGCCTTGTCGAAGGCGTCGTCAAGAAGGCTGAGCTGGACGTCCTCGACATCGACGAGGTCATCATGTGCGGCGGCACATCCCACACGCCCCGCATCGCCAACAACCTGCGCAACATCTTCCCCGAGAGCACCAAGATCCTCGCCCCGGCCACCAGCGTCAGCGCCATCAACCCGTCCGAGGCTCAGGCTCGCGGTGCCGCCCTCCAGGCCTCCCTGATCCAGGAATACGAAGCCAACGACATCGAACAGTCTACCCACCCCGCTGTCACCACCGTCAAGCACATCTCCAACGCCATCGGCGTCGTCACCATCAACACTGACGGCGAAGAAGTGTTTACCCCCATCATGCAAGCCGAGACTGCGGTCCCTGCCCGCCGCACCGTGCACATTGCCGCCCCCAAGGACGGCGGCGACGTCCTCATCAAGGTCGTCGAAGGCGGCACCCACATCAAGGTCACCAAGCCCGAGCCCAAGGCCAAGGAGCCCGTCAATGGCGACAAGGACTCCGACGCCGACTCGGATTTCGATTCAGAGGAGGAAGAAGAGGAGGAGAAGCGTGAGAAGGTCTGGAAGCTCGGCAAACAGCTCGCCGAGGCTGCTATCAGGGGCGTCAAGAAGGGCGGCAAGGTCGAGGTCACCATCAACGTGTTGGCTGATCTCGGCGTCACCGTGACTGCCAGAGAAGTCGGTGGAAAGGGCGGCGTCAGGGGTAACTTGGCTGCTTAAGCTTTGGTCCGGAAAGGGACTGGCGGACAGGAGCTTGTGGATATAGGTGGATTAACATGTCATTTGTTCAGTATGGGGTTTGCTGGTTCGGTCGTTTTTTTTTTTTTTTGTTTGTGACCAAAAAAGGCGAACAATATTGATAGATTGGTGGACAAAATGTGGAAGTGGCAAGGGGCATATTCTGCTTCCACGGAATTAGACAGCGTGATGCACGATATCGAGACGGGATAAATAAATAGGTTTTATGGTAATCACTCGTGGTCAACATGTCTGGTTTTCCTGGAATGTGTTGGCTTTGAAAATTATACGGTTGGGATGGGTGTCTGTGTCAGTGTTTGGCGGGCGGAGCATAATCATGGGCGGGTTTCAGAAGCAAGATGCCAGTCGTTTCAAGCGGTAGGTTATCAAAAGTCACTTTATCAAAACGCCCGCTCCAAACCCCCAAGAAAAATACATGCCATGCCACGCCACTTGAAACGCCAATGGCTCAAGCTTCCACGCTGCCCGGCAACTTCCAAGCCACCAAGTCCTCCCTCACGTCAAACTCGTCCACCTCTCTCGCCCTCCTCATGCCGGGCTCGCCTCTCCCGCCGTCACTACTGCTGCCCAGTGTCGGCGCCAGACTGCCCATGCTGCCACCGCTCCGGCTGCTGCCGAGGTCGTCGTCACGGGCATCCCTACCGTCCTCGCTGACGAACCGGCCTCCGCGCCTGTGACCCCCGCTGCCGTTGGCGCTGGCGCCTCCGGTGACGGTGGACACGCTCCTGTCGCTAGACGCGCTCTTGCTGCGACTATGCCGACTGTGGCTTCCGTCATGGCTGCCGTGGTGGTTGGCGTACCGGCGGAAGTCGCTGGGTCGAAGGGTGCCGCCCAGGGGCTCCGCCTCGCCCTCGTCGCTGTTGTGGTGATCGTGCGCCTCCTTCTTGGTGCCCCATCCGTTGCCGCCGGAGAAGATGTCCTCGATGCACTCGTCGGCCGGCAGCTCATTAGGCTGCCGGGACCACGAGGCCGCGAGGGTCCGGCGGTAGAGATCGTGCACCTCGGCTGCGTCTCTGGGCTTGGAAATAATGGGCATCGCTGAAGCCGCGTTAGCAGCAAGTGACATAGCCGGGGGAAGGGGGGAGAAAGCGTACGTGATGTGTCATCCTCAGCTTCGGGTGCTACCAATCCTGCGATGCCGCCAAACACGGGGGCGGTTTTCAATGCCGGCGCGACAAAGTTGCGCTCCCCATCTACTTGTACCATGAGGATACCAATCTTTAGCGTGCTGTTGATCTTGCTGTCTGACATGAGATACCTCCTCACGATGCCCTCCTCCACGATGCGATTTTCAGGCCCGGCCCCGCCATCAGCGGGAGTCGGGCTGACGCCGATGCTGCTGCGTTTTCGAGGCGGCGACCCTGCTTCACGGCTGAATGACTCGCTCTCTTCCACGTACTCGGCTAGATTGAGCTTGACGTATCCCAGGGTGATCTTTTCAGCGACGGCAAATTCCTGGAGGACCTCAAACTCCAAGGGGCATTCGGTCAGGTTGCTGTTCTTATCCATGGAGATGCGGACCCCGGGAACCAGTTTGCTGTAGCCGTAGTCAACTTTGTGGTTGGAAATGGGGCATTTCGCGGTGCGCCCTCGATGCTCGGCGTGCATCGAGTGCGAGAGATGCCATTTGATGAAGGAGCTGCCAGACACGAGGGGGATGTTGTTTAAATCGTAAATCTGTAGAGGGACTGCATTAGATCTTTGTAGCCAAGATGCCCGTGACGAATAGTGTCGGGGCCCGTCCAACCTTGAGGTGTAATTCGAATTTGGGCTTTGAGGCATTGTTAGCAAAAGTGGCCTCGATTGCAGCCGGCGTGAGAACTCAATGTCGAGGGAGACGACACTCACCCTGCGAGCCTTGCCCACTGTGGACAAAAAATTCATGTTAGCGATGGCCTATGCGCTCAATTGAGGTGCATTCGGTAACCGTGAGGCTCCATGCAGCAATGCGTCAATGTAATAGGGAAATAACAGATGCAAGCAAGCGATTGACTTGTTGAGAGCAATGATGGCGGTTGAATGCTGAGCGATGAGTGGTGACACTGGTGAGCGTGCTTAGTCCAAGCGGCTTCACTTGAACGGCGCGCGTCCCTCAAACAAGTCGTGTCCCCTTGGTGTCTGGTATGAACAAGCAATTGAGAAGTGAGCTTGCACACTAGAGTGAGAAATGCCTCGAGGTATTTTTGAAGGGGGATTAAAAACGAATCCAGAATTAGACTACCACTCACACACAAAGACAGGACGGACACAGGCAGCACTTATTTGGCCCAAAAGGGCCGAAGCACGAGGGAACGGGGCGTTCGGAATTTGGGCTTACTGATAGAGGTCATGACAGCAGCATCGGCCAGCCACTCGGACTGGGTTGCTGGGGTTTGATAGTGCGCAAAGTGTGGGTGGTGACGCTTGAGACGCTTGAGACTCTTGAGACGGAGCACGGGTGCCGGAGTGAGTTGAGGCTCTCGCAGCCTCGAGCGGCGGAGACACGTGCCGGCGATCCCGGAGTGGCGGCGCTATTGCAAAATGGAGGACTTTTTGCGGGACACGTTGGCGAAACGATGAGGCAATTTGAGCAACCTGAAAGAGAGAGAGAGAGAGAGACAAAGCGCTTGTTGTGGCAGCGAGGGAAGCGAGGCGCAAGAACAATCAATGGTTAGACACGAGGAAAACTGGGTACCCAGGTAGCTTCATCTTAACCCTAACCCTCGAGGCCCCAGTCTCACCAACGAGGGATCACTGGCCATCAGCTCATCATCCAGCGGTTGGCAGACCAAGTAGTACACATTTTGAAGCAAGGCTGCCCAACGCCTACGCTTGGATCCATAAAGATTCAGTTCTGGATTGACAGCAATTAAAGATTTAATGCGATGAATACTGGTTATCAGTTTCCAATCAAGATGAGTTAGACCTGCTTTTACTGAAACCTTAAACCAGCCTCCTAAGATCGCCGGGATAGATGCATGATAAATTACGGAAAGGTGTTAATAGAGCTGCGCTGGAGCTGCCTATCGTCTAGATATTTAGAGCTTACGAATATAGTAAATACAAGTGTATTATGTATTGTATTTTATATTATATTACATTTTCGTGTATTATATTTAAATACATTATATTATAAGACTAAAATACCTATAAATATATTTTAAGTAAAAAAGACTCTTATTTTTTTAACTTAGAATTATAAGGCTAATTATAAGGGTTATAAGGAAAATTTTTATATCCTTAGGAAGAGCTAAATTAGCTCTTTAAAATGCCTTACTTTTTATAACTATAAGTTATTATCTTAAAAAGTTATAAGCAATTAAAAATTCGCCTCA